GAAAGTTTTGTATTTCGAACTGGATGCTGGTATCATATTGCCCTCGTGCATAGTAGATCACGTTTAACAACCTCTACTATGTCCTTATTTGTTGATGGCAGATTCGTGGAGGTGTCGAAATGCAATTATCTTCTTCAACCTGCTCCAAACAGGACAATTCGAACTTACATCGGAACACCAAAAGACATTGCGAGAAAAGCTGGCACTGGCAAAGCAAAACTTGCTTGGGATTTGGGTCCGTGTTATTTTTTTGAAGATGAACTAGACGGAGATATAATCGGGGTGTATTATCATCTCGGTCCTCGTTACTCTTCCAATTTCCAAGATTCTCTTGGTCAATTTCAAACCTATCAAACGTCCACGTTACTCAACATGAGACTTGAAGCGTTGAGTCGTCATAGAAAGGATTCGAATATTGAGCTCGACAACTTGGCTATGGTAAATGCAATCCGCGGAAACAACAGTCAAACATTGCCTGAAGATAAAATAATTTTTGCTTTTAATGCGAGTAATGTCCTTGTCTGCGGAAAAAATGCCAACATCCTTGGAGCCGGACTTTCTGAAGGTACATCGCAAGCATTAGCACTTGAAACTGCCAACACAAAGGTGATCTTGAACGCAGCAGTGCCGAAAGTCGAACGTGCATTGAGAGTACCTCATGGACTTGCCTATTTGATGGGTGACCCAGTGACTGCTGTTCCGTACGGTATGGATGATTCAATTTGGAAGATTGGCGGTTCAGCGGTAGTCCTGAGATTAATTGAAAGGGCGGAGGTATGCATTATTTAAATTATTGGTGATCTGTCGATAATGGTTAACCCTATTTAAGTTAACATCTAGTTTGAACTTGCTCATTTAGACATCAACAGATCTGTGTAAAACAGTATGTACACTCATTGAACTCATCCGTTTTAGCTGGCGAAATTCCGAAGATATGGAAAGGATTCACGGATACGAGATATTGGCATATCTATTAAAGCAAAAGCACGGTCTTTTAACCATGGAAATTTTAAATCTACTACTTGCCTTTGTAGGACTCAATTCAACTAGCCCAAAGTAAGTTGGGAAAAACATATAAATAATGTTTTATCGATTTTCAAGATTCTTTCTTACTCCAATTAAACTTCTTTTTTTTTTGTTGTAGCGATTCGGTTATTATAAATCCTCTCGCATATAGGTTTCTAATATTGGATTTCGACTTGTGGAAACATTCTGATGAAGCAGTACAAAGGGCACATCTCCAACAGTTTGCAACCTTTATTCAATTTAGCAATCACCATCATTTCAATGCAAAACGCCTAAGCAAAATGCGTATCCTTGATTAGAATTTCTGTAATTTAATATTTCCAATGTATTTTGCTATACATGTATCTCCTTGACAAATTGATGTTGACATTTAGATGTCGTAAAGAAGATGTTGGTGGCTTTGAAGACGAACGTTTATCCTAAGGGTTTGCTTACTGAATTTGTAGCAACCCTCAAAATAGTAGTGAAGTATAATTTTACGACTGAAGTCATAAGATCAATAGCCACTTTCTTGGTTTCTACATTAAATAAGCGTGAGTTTGGTTTCTCCTTGTGTCTGTTTTTACCTTATTATCATAATATTTAAATAAATATTTCCTTTACTTCCTAGCATCTCTTAACCGTCGTGTAACTCGTAAGGATTCACCATTTAAAAATAGCGTAGACATGAATTTTACTAATGAAGATAGTGGGAAATCGACGCAAAGCATAATAACTGATGTTAGGAGTCTTTCTGTTGAAACGATGGCGAAACAAGTTGGCGTCATGGTCATGGAAATGCTAACCGAAATAGTTTGCGATAAACTAAACCCTTTTTACGTCAACAAATTCGCGACCACAATTACAAACAAGTGGCCGCTGCTTTTTTTCAGTAAAGATTCAAATCCCTTATGGGTAGTTTGCGCGGCCAGAATTTTATCCAGACTTTTTCATTCCCAAGGTGCCAATTGCATAAACAAATTTCGTGCATCATCTGAAGGATTTATAGTTATGCAAAAATTGCTTCCTCAATGGTGGTACCTCTCACAACTGCATCAAGTTTTATTCACCATGCTTTTCGGAATAGACATTTGCGATGTTCCTATGGATGCACCATTTGATCTGTTT